GTGATGAGTACACTATCATTAAAACTGGCAGAATTGCTAAAAACCTACTGGTTGTTCACATTATTACACTATTACATACGAAATGCATTGTTTGCATTAGACCGAGTCGCTTAGATTTCTTACTTATTATATTTTATCATTTTTTTTTTTATTTCCCCCAAAATATTGACTTCATTAAAGCGTCTTTAATGTGGCCTAACAACAAACAAAAACTCTTGAAAAGCAAAGCAGCAAACAACACACACGAGACATGCCTGGAGAGTTCTAGAAAGAGACACCCAGGGTGGCTGATCAGTGCTCTCGGAGTTTTACGGGGGTGAAAGGCATAAAAATTGCAGGTTTTTTGGAGAAACCAAAGGCACGCGGGGCCTCTCCACGGCGGTGGTGACGGAAGCGTTGCTAAGCAGCGGTCCTCTATCCTGGTAACCATGGTTTGCTAGAAAACACCAGGCCGAACAAGTGCTCATTCTGCACAGATGCCACGGGGCGCTCGGCAGCAGCCGGCCACCGAAACGCGGGCAGTGGCCCGCCCCAGCTCCGCCGCTGGAGGAGCGGCCTTCAGGGAGCGCCGCCGAAGGAGGCGAGGCGCGACTGGGCGCGCCCGCGTCGGGAAGCGCGCGCGCCACCGCCTGCTCGCCGCTGCGCTCCGCCTGAGGCCGTTCCCGCCAACGCTCCGCAGGCGCGGCCGCAGCGCGTGCGCCGCGAGGCCGCCCCTTCTCTGGGCCCCGGCCCTATGCGGAGCGCGCCTCTCGCCCGAAGGCACCGGCGCAAAGTCCGCCCTGCCTCGCCACGCCCGCTATGCGGGAGCGCCCCCCCCTCTCCGGTCCTGCCCATCACGCGCGGACCCGTGCAGGAAACCGCGCCCCATCTCGCCCCCTATGCGGTGCGCGGTCGGTACCGTGCCACAGGAAGCCCGCCTCAGTTCGGCCCTGCCGCGGCCCCTAAGGCGGGAGCGCCGCCTGCCCGCCGAAGACCGCCCACCCCGCGTTGGACCGCCCATGCGGGGCGCGCGGCGCCTGCTGCACGCGCAGAGCGCCCCCCGTCTCGGGGCCCGCCTCGCGCCGCGTCGTCCAGTTCTGGCCCCCGGGACGCGCCCCGCCCTGTATCGTCGGCGCGCCCTGCGACGGGGCCAGGCGGCGGCGGCAGGAGGGGAGAGCACGTGCGCGGTGCTTCGGCTTGTGCTTCGGCAGCGCTCGCCTTCCGGCACCTACACGGATCGGGAACACGGTGAGCGGATGTGGCGGGACGGGGCCGGCGTCGCGCCGCCGAGAGCCCGGCGCGCGGCCTGTCGCCGGGCGGCGGTGGGCCGCGCCGGCCTGCGGTCGCGGCCCCTCGCCTTGGGTCCCGTCGCCCGGTCTGGAGGAGCCGCTGGCTCTCTCTTTTTACTCGTTGTTTCTTCGCCGTGCGCCCCGCGCGCCCGCGGTCTCTCTCTCTGCCCCACGGGCCATTTTCCCTGGGTTTTCAAGCTTGGGCGCGAAGGGACGGAAAGTTCCCGAAGTTCTGCCGCTGCGGGGCGGCCGGTTAGCCTTCCGTTCCCCCCGACACCCGGCAGTTGTGTGCGGAGACAGCTGTGCACTTTCCCGGGCGGGGAGAGCATGCCTGTTGTGCGTGCCCGTTGAAACGGTGGGATGGTGAGGAAGTAAAAATAGATGTTGCACCCAGCGGCTGTTTTTTTGGATTTAAAAAAAAAAACAAAAACAATTTTGGTATTTCGGGCATCTGACTTTTGTGTGCATTGCCATCGGATTTGTTAAAATCGTGAGGTCTCAGCTAGTTCCTTTTCTGATACTTTATAAACGTTAAATCTACCCTCGAATGTTAGATATTTAAATGTTTACTTTATATTTTTGTCTAGGTCCAGAACCTCTGGGTGAAGCTAAGAAGAAGTTTTTTTAATGATAGTGCCTATTTTCTAAAACTTTTATGAAGTTAAAAGAAAAAAAAAACACACTAAAACTTTGAGCTCGGGAAGTAGTGCCCCGTAGTAAGTGCTTAGTAACTTTCTGGAAGAAATTATAAGCATCTAAAACACATCTACTTTGCTAATGCACTTTGGAGAATACCATCCTGAACAGTGCCTAGTAATTTGTGCTCAATTTCGTGCTCTTCATTTCAACGTAAAGTCTCTCTTACTCAACATTGCTTTTTAGCACAAGCCTAATAAGGTTGGAATTAGTATATTTTATGTATGCCAGATAACCTTACAAATTAACAGCTAGCAAAGCAGATATATGACAATTTAAGATGTATGTGGCTGTGGAAATTGTTTTCAAATGTCTTCAGTGAAAATATAAACAGAAGGGATCCTTAAATCCTCTGTAGCCTAAAGGATTATCCCTTGTAAAGTAGGTTAGTGTTAGAGACTATTTCTCAGATCTTTTTCTTGAAGTCTTTAAAGGGTGGTTTTCTGAATAGTTGGTGATTTTTCTGGATAGTTGCACTTGCATTGTCCCTGCTTCCTTTCCCTGGGTTTTTCCTTGGGGTATAAAAATCATGAACACTAGAATGTACAGTTCTGGATTTTTCCCCCCTTGATTTCCGGTCAAGACTCCCATTGTGGAAACTTTTCCTTTTAATGCTCTTTCTCCTTTAGTTAAATGAAAAGAAACAAGCATCATCAACTAATTATAAAAAATACCAAATCTTAATTGTCAAGCACATGGGTCTTTAAATGTGCCTAGAGAAAAATAATTGAATTCTCCAAAATTCAAAGAAATCACCACTGGAGTGGCAAAATGCCTGTAGTTTTAAAAGAAACTGACTCACAGCATCCCTTCTAGAAAGCAGACTCTGAAATTTAATCCAATCTTTAACTTTCATATTAGGCACAATTTTTAATCAAAAAACACTGATCATTGTGTCATTTCAAGGCTTCAAAGCCTTCCCTAACTCCCAGCTGCACGAGGGGTTAAATACAGACTCCTTGGCTAATCATTTGGGATGCTCCCTTATTGGCTCCATCTTATTTATCTTTGATTTCCTTAGAAATAGCCTACTCCCAGGGTGCTGCGCCTACACAAACATTGCCTAGCCTTTCCGGACCTTCAGGTATTTCAGGCCATGTTAATCTCTTTCCCCTTCCGGAAAATCACAGTGGTATTTACAGTCCATTCTCATTTTTATCTAACTTCACATTTCCCAAGTAAACTGGAAGCACCTCCAGGGTTTTTTTTTGAGTGCCCCTCCCCTGCCCCCAACAAATAGCACACACTTGTATACATTGTTAAAAGACTCAGAAAATATTGCTTAGTAAAGTGGTCTGAACAGTAATTCTATCAATGTATTCTATATACTGCCTCTTATTTTTTACCCTCATAGGAAGGTTTTCTTCTTGGGGAAGTGAAAGGTGAAGCCAAGAATAACATTACAGATTCCCAAATGGATAATGTTAAAGTTATTTATACAGTTGGTGAGTTACTGATTTCTGTGTGTCCTATGTTTGATAGTTTATGCTGAAAGAGATCGGCATAAATTACTGGTTTTAAATTGTTAAGCTAATTTTAAAAGCAGAATTTAAAATAATATATTACACTCATTTCTCAGTTAAAAATTATGGCCATGGACAGGTCTAAAATAAGAAGCAGATGAGATTACTGCAGGGAACCTGGGACGGAACAAACATCTGCTGTTCAGGTGGCAGGAAGATGCCCAGCAAGAGGAAAACAGAGGACAATGATAAAATGTTAAATGCTGCAGAAAAGATGGGAAATGAGAACTGACAGAACTCAGTGATGAGATGATTAGGTTGCTGCAAATCTTCAGTAATTTCTGGAGTGTAATGAGGAAAAGATCAAACCGCAACAAGTTTGAGGAGGGGGTGCCAAAACATTTACAGCTGGTAGCAGGAGTTCTTTGAGGGGCAGGGAGGTTGGGCTGAAGGAGAGCAGGTTTAAAATGTATAGGGAGTTTTCTGTTTAGAAATTATATATTAGTTTTTTCTAAGCTTTTTTTTAACAAAATTGGTGTACTTTATTAAAAGTTTGGCATCATGACATATGTCATAACCATTTTTCCATATTAAACGATCCTCTGCAATATCATTTTTCATAATTGTGTTGTATTTCACTTTATGGCCTTACTCTGACTTAAGCAGCGCTTTAAATAAATTATAACCGGCTGTTTCCAGTTTTCATTATCATAAATTATACTACACTGAACATCCTTGTACATCAATATTTATTTGCCTTTACTATAATAGATTCCTAGATATAGTATTATGTCACCACCTATGAACTTTTTTTTATTATTTTTTCTTTTTAAAAAAAAATTATTTTCTTTTTTTTGTTTATTTGGAAAAATGTGAACAATTTTAAGGTTTCTGATAGGCATTAGCAAATTACTTTCCAGAAAGATTGTATCAGTTTATACTCATACTGTATGTTATCTTTGTTTGCCACTTTAAAGGGTTAAAAATAGAAGTACATATAGTAGAAGATAAAAAATTTAAATTTTCATTAGTCTTCTCAGTGGCAAACATTGTTTCGTGGTTTTTTTACTCATTTACAATATTCATAAAACAAATATAAATACAGTTTTTTATTTAAACAAATGAGATCACTATACATGCATAATTATTTCCTAAGATATCATTAGTGCATGATAGTATCAGTGTGTGTAGTTGGTCATTCTCTCAAATGGCTACATGTGTCCCATGGTGTGGATGTACCAGAATTTAACCAGCTAAGAGTGACTTTCAATTTGTTAACACAAACAGTATTAAAATGAACATTTTATGTGGTGCTGTACATCTTTGTGCTTTTGTCTGAAAGTCAAATCCTAGAGATAGACTAGCTGCCTTTTGGAAAAGTTATGCGATTTTAGATTCCTTTACAGCAGGCGTCCTCAAACCACAGCCCGCCCGCAGGCCACATGCGGCTGCCTAGACATTTATCCTGCCCTCTGGTGTTTTTGCCACCCCTACCTGTCCTGCTTAGCAGCCGACTTGTCCCAAGCCTACAGTGCGCACTCTCCAACAGTCTGAGGAATGGTGAACTGGCCCCTGTTTAAAAAGTTTGAGGACCCCTGCTTTACAGTATATAAAAGTGCCTGGATCCCCATACTCTTAGCAGTACTATCTATTATCAAATTTTTTAATTTTTGCCAATTTGATAAGTAAAAAATATAGCATTCTAATTTCCATTTCTTAAGAAACAGGTTAAAGGCCGGGTGCGGTGGCTCATGCCTGTAATCCTAGCACTCTGGGAGGCCCAGGCAGGTGGATTACTCGAGGTCAGGAGTTCGAAACCAGCCTGAGTAAGAGCGAGACCCTGTATCTACTATAAATAGAAATTAATTGGCCAACTATAGAAAAAATTAGCCGGGCATGGTGGTGCATGACTATAGTCCCAGCTACTCGGGAGGCTGAGGCAGGAGGATCACTTTAGCCCAGGAGTTGGAGGTTGCTGTGAGCTAGGCTGACGCCACGGCACTCACTCTGTCCTGGGCAGCAAAGCGAGACTCTGTCTCAAAAAAAAAAAAGAAACAAGTATTTTTTCACGCTTTTTATTTTTTTTCATCTTGGCTCTTTTCTTTGAAAAGGATAGACCTGTTCCATTCTTTGATAGAATTTCTATTATACTGTTTTCTTTTATTGAATTGTAATAACATAAGGAAATTGATCTTTTGTCGTGTATTTTTTTTTTTTACATTAAGCAGGGATATGTAATACAAGGTTAGGCAATTTTATCTTTGTGCAAACATCATAGTATAATTACAAAAATCTAATGGCACCCACTGCACAACTAGGGTATATGGTAGCCTACTACTCTTGGGCTACAAACCTGTACAGCATGTTACTATAGTGAATACTGTAGGTACTTGTAACACAATGGTATTTGTGTATGTAAACATATCTAAACATAGAAAAGGTACAGTAAAAATAACAGTATATATAGACAAAAAAATGGTACATTTTGGCAGCTCTGTTATAATCTTGTGAGACCACTGTCTGATACGTGGTCTGTCATTGGCCAAAACATTGTTATGAGGCACACGATTGTACCGGAACAACAAAAGTTAATCCCTTTAACAGCTATTTCTATGCCTTGAGTAAATTTAGAGCATAACCTTTTTAGAACGCAAAGAAAATACAGCAACTTTGAATTTATCTTATTGTTGCAGTTATTAGACCATTGTTTAGAGAGAATGTAGCATTCTGGTTCCAAGTAAGGCTCTGTGTTTGAATTGTGGCCCTACCATTGCATTGGCATGGACAAGCCACTTGATCCTTCTTTGCCTGTTGTATCATCTTTGAAAGGGGAAGAATGATAGCATCTGTGTTACAGGTTTGTTATGAGGATTAAATGAGATGATCAGTGGTAAAGTAATTGCTGGAATGAGGTAAATGCATAATATATGTTATTCAAATGATTAATATAACTAAAAATCCTTTTTTTCTAGACATTCAGAAATATATTCCATGCTATCGGCTTTTTAGGTAAGTAAGTAGTTATAAAAGCAAATAAATGATCCATTGTGAAAATTACTCTCTGCAAGTGAAATAATGTTTAAAGCTAACAAAGTATCTTAGTTACGGGTTATATATGGTGGTATTAATGCTAATTAAAATGGAAAGAGCTTTTTTTTTTAAATACCTGAAAAGTCACTTGTGCATTGCCAGCCCTAATAGTTCTTTCTCTGTGTGACTTATGTTAGCTGGTCTTCACTGCCTCTCCCAGGTACCAGATAACTTTGAGGATTGCTTTATCTTTTCACACCCGTCACCTCATTGTAATATATGATAAACTCAGCCTCCCAAACTCAGCACTTTGGGAGGCTGGGGTAGGAGGATCACCTGTATTACTTCCTAATACATGTATTTAACGGATAGTTTATTACTTTGCTTTAGGTTAAAAAAATGTGATGTCCAAACTTATCTCCTATCCTTTTTCTTTCGTTGGTTATGGACCTCATGTTTCCACAACTTTAAGCCTATTAGTTTGAGAACTTTCTCCACTGTTTATTTTAGGACTTCATATGACAGGCAAGTAAGTATATGGATTTTGGCTGGCTAGTTTGCGTTCAAAGTAATTAAAAATGCTAATAAAATTATTCATATTTTTAGCTTAATTGAAATGTCTTTATTTTGGCTTTTACAGCTTTTATAATTCTTCAGGTGAACTAAATGAGGAAGCACTAAAGAAAATATTTTCAAGTGTCAAAAAGGTATTCTCTGATTTACCTTTTCATTTTTGGTATTGAATATGCATTATTTTCGTTTCCTAGAAACATGTAGTACTTTGACAGAACTTTCAAGCAGTGTTTGTCTTCATGCTATCCTATAAAGCAGGTAGAAAAGCCTTTTTCTTCCCAGAAATTCAAAGGGGTTGCTCTGAAAACACAGCTAGTATTTAAAAGCATTGATCTTGGCCGGGCGTGGTGGCTCACGCCTGTAATCCTAGCACTCTGGGAGGCAGGTGAGAGGATCACTCTAGGTCTGGAGTTTGAAACCAGCCTGAGCAAGAGCGAGACTCTGTCTCTACTAAAAATAGAAAGAAATTAACTGGTCAACTAAAAAGCCGAGCACGGTGGCACATGCCTGTAGTCCCAGCTACTCAGGAGGCTGAGGCAGAAGGATCACTTGAGCCCAGGAGTTGGAGGTTGCTGTGAGCAAGGCTGACACCAGGACACTCTAGCGGGGCAACAAAGTGAGACTCTGTCTCATAAATAAATAAATAAAAGCATTAATCTTGTTATCCTTCCCTTTACTGTATCGATCTCTTTCTCTGCTGTATTTTTTTTTTTTTTGAGACAGAGTCTCGCTTTGTTGCCCAGGCTAGAGTGAGTGCCGTGGCGTCAGCCTAGCTCACAGCAACCTCCAACTCCTGGGCTCAAGGGATCCTCCTGCCTCAGCCTCCCGAGTAGCTGGGACTACAGTCATGCACCACCATGCCCGGCTAATTTTTTCTATAGTTGGCCAATTAATTTCTATTTATAGTGGAGACGGGGTCTTGCTCTTGCTCAGGCTGGTTTTGAACTCCTGACCTTGAGCAATCCGCCTGCCTCGGTCTCCCAGAGTGCTAGGATGACAGGCGTGAGCCACCACGACCAGCCTCTGCTGTATTAACACCACACCACCCCTTCCCAGTAGCATTTATTCTAGGACCTAATCCCCTGCTGTTAATTTAGGCAGCTGCAGTTACTGGTGCTATTTTTCATGCTGCAGGGATGCTTTCCTATATAGCACTTAATTGGAACGCTCCACAGCATACCTGGTGTTTAGCTGAAAGCTGCTGAATGATCAAAATGGATTTTCCCCCAAACAAAATTTTTTTGAGGCACCACTTTTTTCTTCTTAAAAAACTTTTTTTTTTAATCTCCGACTTGAAAATAAAAGATTAGGTAAAAGAAGTTTCTTTCAAAAAACATTCTCAGTTGAAAATGCTTAGATTTTTTTCCCCAGTTGTATTTGTGTATTTAAAAATGTTTTATTTGTGCCAGTCGTGGTGGCTCACGCCTGTAATCCTAGCACTCTGGGAGGCCGAGACGGGAGGATCACTGAAGGCCAAGAGTTTGAAACTAGCCTGAGCAAGGGCAAGACCCCGTCTATACAAAAAAATAGAAAAATTAGCGAGGCATGGTGGCATGTGCCCAAAGGCCCAATTACTCAGGACACTGAGGCAGGAGGATCGCTTGAGCCCAAGAGTTTGAGGTTGCTGTGAGCTATGATCACGCCACTGCACTCTAGCCTGGGGTACAGAGCAAGACCCTGTCTCAAAAAAAAAAAAAAGTTTCATTTTTAAAAAGAATAGAAGTAATTTTAATTTCCTCAATTTGTATAAATATAAAATGTAGTTGCTGAACCTCACAGATCTTTAAGCAAAGTGGTTTTTTTTCTCCATTACAGTTACTGAATTTTCAGTAAATGAGAATTATTTTTCTGTATTAAAAGGTTTAGTGATACAACACATTTGTTTAGCATGTTACAGTTTATAGAAACCTTTTACATGATCTTTTTCAATCTTGAAACCAACTTTGTAGGGTAGACAGTATCATTCCCATTTAAATTTTAGGTTAAAAGGTTCAGCTTAACTTATTTAACAAACCAAGTATCCATACAGGAACTTGTTTTTAGGGAGTGATTGCCTAGTAAGTGAATCAGTATGGTTGATTTTTTTTTTTTTTATTTAAATTGTGACTGTAGATTAAGACTGCAAGATATATGTGTCATACCAGGATATTAAAAAAAAAAAAAAAAAAAGACTGCAAGATAGCAAATGCCATAAGAGAAACGAAAGGAAGTCAAAAATTTTTTTCTCCTTTTAATCGATATTGATCAAAATTGTAGCCTTTTAAATGAATGGAAAGCAATTTAACTGTAAGTCAGTTTGCATACTTTAGAAAAGTAAAGTGTATTCTTTGTTTATATCTGTCCAAATCTTTCTAAATATTAAGAAAGCCATTCTTAAGACTGTAAGTTTTATAAGAATTATAAATAGACATATAATTATAATAATAGACATATAATTGTAACCATTAAGATACATATCTTATTTCTTTCTGTATTTCAGACTGTGGTAGGTTGGTACAAATTCCGTCGTCATTCAGATCAGATCATGACATTTAGAGAGAGGCTGCTTCACAAAAACTTACAGAACCATTTTTCATGTCAAGAACTTGTTTTTCTGCTGTTAACACCAAGTATAATAACAGAAAGCTGCTCTACTCATCGGCTGGAACATGCCTTATATAAACCTCAGAAAGGGTAAATGTTGGCCAGTCACTGGCTATCCTAAAATAATAGAAAAATATACCTAGTATTTAGTACTTTTTGTAGATTACCAAGTGTTTTCATATATTGTTGCATTAGATTGTCACAGTAACCCTCTGAAGTAGATCTTACCACCTGTTAATTTTAAGTGGCAACATAAAGTCAGACAAGGAAATTAGAAACCCAGTATGGAATGATGACTTGTGCTCTAACATTGAAGACTTTGCTATTATTTACTATTTAATTTAATATTTAATAATTTACTATCTAGAAAATATTTTAGATATTGATTAAGGATATAATTTAGAACTTAAGCCTAGGTATTTGCACAGCTTTTCTATAACCTCTGCAAAGAAGCAAGGCAGTTCTTGATGGTCCATTCAAATGAGTTAACAGAGACTCCCCATAGGTTGTATAAAAACTACATTTTTTATATAAGAATTAAGAGTACCAGCTGAGATTAAGTTTATCATTCACGAAAGGTAGGATAAATCTCAACATTGAGATCTCAGTATCTTTACATGTACTAATCAGTTAAGTTAAAGTAGCCATTAAAATATTTTTTCATGCAATTATACCATACACATTTTAACAACTTTTAAAATCCAGTTGCCTCAAGTCGGTAAATTCTATCTCAGGTAAGTAGTAAGGAATGGGGTATCTTTTGTAAAATCTTATAGGGGAAAAATAGTCTATTCTGGTAAGTGGATGCTAACCTTTCTCTTTATTCTAAATTTATATTTTAAGGTTTTCTTTTGTCAGACTTTTTCATAGGGTACCATTGGTGGTTGCCAATCTGGGCATGTCCGAACAACTGGGTTATAAAACTGCGTCAGGTTCCTGTACGTCCGCTGGTTTTAACCGCGCAGTAGAAGCACACAGGTGAGATTCTCCAACTGCTTTCCCTCTAAATGTATTCCTATTCATTTTTTGAAATTAATTTTATTATGCGAACAACAGAATAAAAATGAAAGGAAAACTAATGTATACCTTACTCAGGTAAACTAGACTGTTTTGACCTTCTCCATACTTCCTGTTAGCACTTTTCTACTTGAAAGATACAAAAGAGGTAGTAGGGGAAGTTACTGCATATCCAGCAAATTTTAGCGTATTTATTCTAAGTTACAGAAAGTAGCTAGCCTCAAAATTATAATTTTCTAAGGCAATGGTTCTGATTAAGGGCATGGAATTCAATTGGATATTAAAGGGAACAACATCAGGCTTTAGCCAAGACTTACTCATACTATAGGCTGCTTAGATATAACTTTTTTGTAGCCATTAAGTAAGGGAATAATGTCACAAACAGTGATATTGGTATGGTCAGATACCTACTAGAGTATAAACTTTACCAGGATAAGGGACTGGGTTTTATTTATTTTTGTGTTCCCACAGTGCTTAACAATGTAAGAACGTAATACCATATTTCATTGATTCTGAAACACACATTTTTCACATTTATCTCTGAAACTGGGCTATTTTACAAATTATGCCTTCTTAATACTGGTTTTTTCTTTCATAGATCATAAAATAATGATGCCTTTTCCAATTAATGGTAACTTAAATCTTAAATTCATTAAAATATTGATTCTTGTTGCCATTGCCAAAAAAAGATCCCCTCTCTCTTTCAGTTTTTATCTATTTTTAATTAACCTTTTTTTTTTTGAGACCTCGCAATAGAACTTATAAAGCTAAAAAGTTTGCTATTGTGAAGATAGATGAAGTAGGTTGGTTTTGCTGTATACAGGACGGTTGACAAAATTATGGTCCCTACAGAGCCAGTAAAAAGAATTATCCATTGCTCTTTGACAACAAATAAGTTTTTCACTTTATCATTAAAATGGGTTCTGTATCTTTGCCTGAGGAAATGGTAATATTTTTCAGCTCTGAATTTTTTGAAGAAGATGGATCTTTAAAGGAGGTACATAAGATAAAGGAAATGTATGCTTCATTACAAGAGGAATTGAAGGTAAAGTTAACATACCTAACACTTAAAAACTACTTTTAGAGTTCCTCTCAAATTGAGTCACTGAAATTTCTTAGGGATAACCTGACATTTTGATTAGATTTATAGTCATGAAATGTGTCATTAGGCAAGTTAGTGCAAACATCATACAGTGTGCTTATACAACCTGCATGGGGGTGTGTGTGGGCGGGGTGAGGGTGTATGTATTATTTATATATATATTATTTTTGTTATTGATGTTTGTTTTTTTAAGACAGGGTCTCACTGTGACGCCCTGGGCAGAGTGCAGTGGTGTCATAGCTCACTGCAACCTAAACTCCTGGGCTCAACTGCTCTTTCTGCCACAGCCTCCCAAGGAACTGGGACTACAGGCACACACTACCATGCCTGGCTAGTTTTTTTCTGTTTTTGGTAGAGATGGGGTTTCACTGTTTCTCAGGCTGGTCCCAAACTCCTGACCTCAAGTGATCCATCCGCCAAGGCCTCCCAGAGTGCTAGGATTACAGGCGTGGGCCACTGACCTTGGCCTGTGTCATAATTTTTTGTTTAAGAGATAAGTTTTGCTACACACTGGCCTCAAACTCTTGGGCTCAAGCAATCTTCCTGCCTCAGCTTCTCAACTAGCTAGAACTATAGGCATACTCTACTGCTCTGATTTTTTTTTTTTAATTTATCATTTAAACATTTTTTTATTGCTACGTATTTGGTTATTTTTAATGGCAGTATATTTCACAAAGCAGTACATTAGAACTCTTATGTTAAAAGTGCCAATTGGGCTAAAGTGGGGAACATAAAGGAACTTTAGGTAGAACGCAGCTGAACTTCAGGAAGGAATTGAACCAGAAGCTGGAACATCACCAGAACTTTCTCTTCCTCCGTGTCTGCACATTACTTTCCTTCTTATTTGTAGACTTTGCTGTTTCCTCATCCACTGGCAGCCCAGAGAAGGGGCTGATTACTCAAGAGATTAGGATTTGCCAGTTGGCTGTGTAATATCTCCAGATTCCCAGGACAGAATCTGCTGTTCCACTTGCGTCAGCTAGGGTAAAAATGGCTACAGGAGTTACTGGCACACTCTCATGTCAGGGCAAAAGGTTTATGAAAAGCAGGCTGGGCAGACATCCTAAAAAAGGATCCACTAAAACCAGCTGTAACAACTATTACCCTGTAATTGGAAATTAGTTATGGTGATTTGATATTGTACTAACCCTTTGCACTCGCTTGCTTTTTTCTCGATTCCTTTATTCTACTCGGGATTTAATGCTAAACCGTGTCGAGTCACACTCGACATCCAAGTGCAAAAGGCTAAGGAATGTCATCTTGTAAATTTTTTTATTTAGTTAAGACACAGTCCCAAAGTGGAATTATTAGATCGAAGGTTATTGGTATTCGTACTTTTGAAATTGATGATACACGGGGCTGCGCTGCTTCTCAGAAGTAGTTTTTCTCACAGGAATTAAAATCTTCATTAGTTTCCTTTCATTACAGCAAAATACCATCACTTTGTTTTCCTTTATTGTCAGTGGCTTAATGTTAAATCTATGCAGTAACTGCATCTTTCAGTATGTTTCACAGTGAGTTAAATTTCAGTTTATTTCTGTGTATTTTCAACAAAATAACTGATGTAATAAAACTGTGTGAGAAGCTAATGTATCTGAAAAGCATTTATATCAAAGGCAAATAGTACTTGATAGTATATGACACCAAGGATTTTATATTATTTAATTGTGAGTCTAAACTCTGTTAGTACAGAACTTGAAATTTTGTCTGTGCCCTTAAATTATTTTGCAGAGTACATGCGAAAAAGTAGAACACAGTGAGGAAGCAGTAGAAAAACTACTAAAGGATATAAGCCGATTAAAACGAGAAATTAAAATAAGGAAACAAGCACAGACTCAAGCGGAACGTAAGTAAAAAGCTAACACGTCATTACATTACATGCCTTAAAAATGCTCACTAATTTGAGTTATGGATATCCACCTTGGGATTAAAACTAGTTGTTTTAATACTCTTAAATCCCACCAAACAAAAACATGGTACTATAGTAGCTATACTGTACTGCTGATATTAAAGAATACAACTTTAATTTTCTCTTAGAATACTGTGGCATATAAATTAGAATTTGGAGTTATGCATGTCATTATTTTTACCAGGTAATTTGATATAATTGTTAGAATCTTTTTGACTTAATTTTACCAACAAATACCTGATTATGAAAAGCTTTGTAAAACAAATACTACATGTTGAAAGAAGTGTTGTTTTATTTTGTTTAGGAAAGAAGAATGTCCCAAAAGAACCTCAGGAGAACACTTTTCTTTGTCAGGCTTTGCGGACGTTTTTTCCGGATTGTGAATTTCTTCGTTCATGTGTTATGTCTTTGAAAAACAGGTGTATTTCTAAGAGTAGCTGTGACAGCGGCCACCGTCTTGATGTGGTAGACAACCTGACCTTAATGGTAGAATACACTGACATTCCTGAAGCTAGTCCAGCTAGTGCACCACAAACGATTAAGCGTAAATCTTTAGAAAAGACAGGTGACGGATGGCAATTCAAGAAATCACGGCTGTCAGAGACACAAAACAAACCGTCTAAAACAGATACTGATAGTAGTAACCAAGAAAAAACATCCACGATAAGCAGCCCAGAAACAGATGAAGATATTGAGAAAATGAAGGGTTCCGGTGAATATTCACAATCTCCTACATTTTGATCCTTTTAACCCAAAAGGAGGTTTTTTTATTTGTTTGAAGGATAAAGTCAAACGTTTCTATCAATTTTGCTATGTTCAGCTATTGCAGTAATAAATATATTCAGATATATTCATTTGTTTTTACTGTATTCAGCTATTCTAATACATAGATAAGGTAATTTGTTTTTACTATGTCCACCTGTTTGCAGTAATACATAGATAAGTTCTAGTGTACTTATAAAGTACTTTTAAAATAGCAGATGCTTTTATTTCTATTTTTTTTGAGACAGAGTCTTGCTCAGTTGTCCAGGCTAGAGTGCCGTGGCATCAGCCTCGCTCACAGCAACCTCAAACTCCGGGGCTCAAGCAATCCTCCTGCCTCAGCATCCCCAGTAGCTGGGACTACAGGCATGTGTCACCATAGATGTTTTTATTTTAAAAATCAAAATGGTTTACTTTTTACTAAATTGTTGAGGGAAAGGCTTAAATAGATATATTCTTTTAAACTTACACAGCATTCTTTAGAATTGGAAGAGAGAGACTAACTTATTTTTCCAATGTAGAAAGAAATCTATAAAGTTGATATGAAAATTTATTTTTATCTAAATCATTAAAATTCCCATTCCTTAAGTGATGATAAAAAGTACCTTATGGCTAGGACTGTCAGATAAAATTTGGGACATACTTACATTAAAAATTATTTGTCTTTAGTTTAAATTTAACTGGGTGTCCTGTATTTTTATTTGCCAAATCTGGCAACCCTGATTATGACACACCATAATACAGCCCACACGGTTATCTTTCCATTAGTCGACAGTCCTCTACATGAAACTGAGTAAATCTAAAATTTTCAGTACAGCACAAACCTGTTAACCCAGTACATTTGGGGATCAATTTTTTTGGTCAAGTAACTGAAAAGGCCATATAAAGTAGGACTCAGAAGTGCTACATACATCTGTACATACATAGGAATGTCTGTCACAAAGCCTTCACTTTAACATAAAGAGGAACTGTACATCCATCTGCCAACCATTCAGCGCAGGGCCAGGAACTTTTCTGAGTCTTAAGTCCAGTGATTGAAGTTCCTATGTAAATCACTCTCACTACTCAACCTCTACAATTCCCAGTTTTTTAGTTTCTTTAAAGTGAAGAATTCGTAGAAATATGCAAAGCAACAAAGAAAGTACAAAATGCAACTAGGTTTTCCATTTTGCAGCACCCTCCCACTCCTGTTCAGTTGTCCTAGCCTCACCTAACTTGACAACTTTTTTTTTTTGGACGGTGGTCGTCACTTCTGGTTGCCCAGGCTAGAGTGAGTGCCATGGCGTCAGCCTCGCTCACAGCAACCTCCAACTCCTGGGCTCAAGCGATCCTCCTGCCTCAGCCTCCCGAGTAGCTGGGACTACAGGCATGCGCCACCATGCCTGGCTGATTTTTTTCTATATATTTTTAGTTGGCCAATTAATTTCTTTCTATTTTTAGTAGAGATGGGGTCTCACTCTTGCTCAGGCTGGTCTCTAACTCCTGACCTTGAGTAATACACCTGCCTGGACCTCCCAGAGTGCTAGGATTACAGCCATGAGCTACTGCACCCGGCCAACAATAACTTATTTGCTCATATTTAATCAGTACAGTAACACATATGCCACAGGTCTGGGAACAAAACTCTTAGGGTATTCAACAGGAGAGTCATGGCCGTTTGACTTTTAGGGAGGACATAAAGCCCCAGTTTAATCCAGTGGGTTAAGTGGGAGTTGCCTAAGAGACCTTTTACTAGTATGTGCAGATGTGTTTGTCTTTTTCACACACTTTTCCATTTAGTGTACACATCACATGAAGCCTTCACCATGTTTTACTCACTGGATGAAATGCTCAGTGCATACTTTGACCTTTGATCTTCCGTGTCTTCCTAGAGAAATGACTTGATATAGAAAATCTTATCTAGGTAACAACGCTTCTGTGTGTTTCCATGCACTAATTACCATAGTGTGTTTATGAAGCAACATAATACCAGGGATTTGGACAAATCCTAAGTTTGTACTGCTGGGGTTATGTTTGACTGGTTACATAAGTAACTGTCGTACCGTACACGGCAGGAGGAGGAAAACCAGGGTTGTCCGTCTCAACTCCTACTGCTCGTATCACTAGAGTGAGAGAAAATGACTGATAACAGATTACGTATAAATTATCCCTTTATGGGAAGGTCGATACTGGTTTGAGGATGGACTCACCTAGGAATAAATATGTTGTCCTCCTGTAGCAGGACTACTATCCGTCCCAGTGTCACATCTCTGCCAAGGGAAGACCACTCTCTTGACCAGGCACACTTGTGTTTGCTAGTTAGAAACTCACTCTGAGCAGTTCCGACTCCACAGCCAATCACGTGAGATGTGAACATTATGCAAGCATTCTACTCCCACGCGTCCATTTCCCTAAAATCCCATCTGTAAGACAGAGTCTGGGCCTAAAGCAGATTCCAATCCAAGCTATCCCTCACTCATTTACTGTGCCAGCATCAGTGTGTACATTACTATAGGAGTGTGTACATTACATTTCAGGGCCACATATAAGTGGCAATCACACAGGACCACTTTTATTCAAAGTATCTAAAATGCAATGCATATCAATGTTGTGAATATGTGATTTGTTCGATAGTCATTCACTGTCTATGGAAGAGAAGTTTCACTCCTGATCTCACTCCTGAAACACTTTTCTAACCAACGGTTTGAGAGTCAATATTGGCATCATGCAACCACTTACTGTAAAATAAGTTTATTGGCGGTCACGTCATGTAATTTATTCCCGATATCTGATGTTGCACACTTTAGGGTCTTTGAGATACGCAGGATCCTTGTATGTAACTGGCATAAACCCTGTAAAGAGATAAATTAAAAGTTTTCACGAAAGATAATGAGCAAAATTTGACTCAGCTCAATTCAGTTGTTAGGTGCTCTTACCCAGTATTTGAGCTCTCTTAATTGCTTTTGTGATTTCTCTCTGTTTCGTCCCACAAAGACCTATAAAATAAAGATGTTTCCTCAAAAAAAAAAAAATACCAATACTCAAAATTTATAACCATTTTACAAGTCAAGGGTTGGTAACATTTTTTTTGTCAAGGGCCAGAAATACATTTGTGGGCTTTGTGGGCCATAAGAGTGTCCATCACAACTATTCAATTCTGCTATAACTCAAAAGCAACCATATGGCGCTATGTAAAGAAAACTAAAAAAAAAACATGTGGCAGGTCAAATTGGGCCTAATGGGCCACAGTGTGCAGACACCAAGTCTTTAAGTATCTATCTAGGAATGATTACAGTATATTCTGAAACAAGAACACAATTTTTTTAAGCTTAAGTTTTCTGTATGTTGTCAGAATCTAGTTAACTTCAAGCATAAGAAGACATGCAAACTTATAATCCTTTTAGCCTAAAAAGAGGCTTTCTCCAAGTACTTAAATCCAGTCCCTGCAGTATCTGGTCTAATAATGATTTATGGCACGATTTGACAATTTGCCAGTTTTCTTAAATAACAGAAGTAGATTGACACAATTCTTAACCACATTTAAATTGTTGCAATAAAAAACAAAATACCTGTTATGTGCCTTCCATAAATGCATCCAGTAAATGGAGAAATAAACTGGGACAGAAGCTGTTTGGGGGTTTTATTGGAAGGAAAAGAAATTAATATATTTGTTATTCACTGCAAATGTGTAAATGTAAAAAAAAAAAAAAACCTTACCACTTTTATATAAAAATCTAAATTCCACATGAATTTTATAAGACAAAAAGTTTTTAACTATTTAGCTTATCCTATTAAGTCATCTTTTAAAATAATGTTAATATCATCTATATAGCGTGTCAAAGTCTACACAGTTAACAGAGTAATCAGCATACTCTTTATTTATTTATTTATTTATTTTGAGGCAGAGTCTCACTCTGTTGCCCGGGCTAGAGTGCCATGGCGTCAGCCTAGCTCATAGCAATCTCCAACTCCTGGGCTCAGGCAATCCTCCTGCCTCAGCCTCCCGAGTAGCTGGGATTACAGGCATGCGCCACCATGCCCGGCTGATATTTTCCTCCCGCCTCGGCCTCCCAGAGTGCTAGGATTACAGGCGTGAGCCACCACACCTGGTCAGCATATTCTTTCAATATTAAATCTGTATCCTTGATTTCCACAGACGTCTTTCTAAAATACTGTTGCTTAAAACACGGTAGTACTAAAACATTCCATCTACCACATAATTACGAAGGTAATTATCAGACTACACTGAGATCTTCAAGAGGTACAAGTACATCAGGCCATTTACTGTAATTTATGCTTTACTAATTTAAATACATCTTTAGAACTTTCTAGGCATTAGGCACTGTTGTAGGCACTTTTATATAATCTTGCTATTATATAATTTGTAAAACTAATAAAAATAACTAATAAAACTAATTTCTTAGTTTTAATCCCCCTCAAAGGCAGTGATCACTTTAGACTTGCCTGTATATGTAACTCCAGCACCATCCACTCCCCCAAATTTACAACTTCTAATTGTGCTGAGAGCTAGATAAGAGATAAATAATATGTGGAGCAGTGACATGGGTGGTGAGGTACAGAGAAAAAACTGCACAGGACCTTTTCCCAAAGTACTCACCCTCACCAATCAAAAACCACCACAATGACTTGCTGTGAAAACATTTGGGTCAGAGAAAAAAGAAACACTCAATGGAAATAATAGTAAATGAGGCATTTATTTGAGTGAAGCATAGATATAACCTTATCCATAGGATTATAACCAGATTCGAAACTAGGAAGTGTTAAAACAGTTGCATCTACAAAAGCCTGCTATAAAACTGACGTCATTCTTTTAAGCAGGACTAAACAAGAGCAAAATCCTAAAATCACAAATAGTGAAGTAAATCCAGATCTCACCTGTACATTCTTATAATCTACACGTTTTCCACACAAGAGACATTTCTTAGGAGGCTCCTTATAAGGATTTTCCATTGGAACAGGCTAAGATAAAGGAAGAAAAGTGTGATGTGTTAATTTTGAATTTAAGAAAATTAAATCTCCTAGAACAGCCACCACTAGGGAAAAAAAATAAATAAATAAAAATAAAAAAATAAAAAAAAAATAAAAAGAAAATTAAATCTTAAGGTTACTATACTCCATTTAAACACATCCAAAGGAATAGTTATACCTTTCTTACTGTACGTATTTTGTACAAGCCCTTTACTTTGTTTCAGTTTGGCTAATGGAGAACTAATTCCTGGAGGATTCTGGAATAAGGTTACATATTTGTAGAATAAAAGGGTTTGTGGAAGAAAAAAATTCAAGTCTAATAAGAAAGTGATTGCTCCAATGCAAGTAACTAAAAAATATTAAGATTTAAATTAAGAAAAGCTTACAATACAATAGGTAACATGCTATTCCTAAATTAGTGTAATCCCTAAGTACAGGTTATCTATCCCCATTTGTCTCTATCAGATGTTTTGTTTTTGTTTTTTTTTGAGACAGCGTCTCGCTGTTGCCTGGGCTAGAGTGTGGTGGTGTTATTACAGCTCGTGGCAACCTCAAACTCCTGGGCTCAAACGCCCCTCCTACCTCAGCGTCCCAAAGTGTTAGGATTACAGGCTTCGGCCACCTTGCCCAGTCTTTATCGGGTGTTTCATCATTATTTTTATTTTAGAAATAGAGAACACCCCAAGGCTTACTGTAATAAAAGTTTCTTTGACTTCCATTTTGTGGCCCCCCCAGACTGCTATGTAAGTTTGTGTCAGCCTTTTGGCTTTTCTCTCTTCACTACTGCCTCTAATGCTTCTGTTACAGTTTCTCTCTTCCACAGCCGGTAGGGTTGTCTCCGGTATAGAGGTTCTTAATCTAGAAACAGCTTTGAAGTCCATGACCCCTGTAATTGTATGCAAAATTTCAAATGAATGGAACTTCCTGGCTTTTCCATGGAGAGGATCTATAGCTTTCATTAGTGTTGGGGGAATTTATGACCTAAAAAAGGACTGTTACAATCTGACCAGGATGGATGCTCAGAGGAATTAGACAAGTTCTTTTGTTTGTTCCAATTCTTCAAACTTTCTTAATCTAGTTTTCATTCAGGTCACATGCTATGACTGCATTCCTTCTCAACACTGTGCTAAGTGATTTGTATGTTCTGATTAGTGGCAAACAAATGATCTTGGAATGTAATAAGAATACTTATGCTGCCCAAGTCCACGTTAGTACTTTAAACTCATAACAATACATGTGTAGGTTAGAGGAAACAGTATTTAATGTCCTGATATAAAACTTTAATTTTTATATCTCATTTACTAAGGCACCCCCCACCAAAGTGGCAAATGAGACAAAGGTAGGAAAAATGTGAATTCAAAATGGGCAATAGTGCCAACCTATAGCTAAGCTTTGTACAATCCCTTTGTCCAATTATTTACAATTCTATCCACTAAAACTACCTTTCTAACACATTAGCTGCCATGTGAGTTGTATTTAACTCATGCTAGTTACGAGCCCTGGGGCCTGGTGAAGCATATATAACTCACGTCTCTACCTTGGGAGCTGCATGAACTATTCTTCAAGTTGCATATAATTCACACGCAGAAAACAATAAAAAATAACAAATTTTTTATTAAATTAGGATTGTTTTGTTTTCGAAGTTTTAATCTATTTTTGTAATAAAATACCATGGCCCCAAGGAAAAAAAATTGTTTTTCTAGTGTGGCAATGTGTTAAATTCCCAAATCACATATTCTCTAAATTTAAGATCTTGGAAGAAAAGATGGTATTACAGAAGCCACGCTTCTTGTTAGGAATCTAGGAATTCTCTTATTTCGAAATTCACTTAGGTGACTATAAACAATGGGTTATAATTTCCAAACTCAGAGTAATAATTATCTTAATTGTCATTTTTAAATTTGGTCATATCTAGGAATGCCTTACTAATAGGAAAAAAAAAATTCTTACCATGTCCTCATTGCTGGTCACCTGTTTATACTGTGAACAACCTCTGCTCCACAGTGCTACAATTATACCAAGAGAGCAATAAATCATTTCTTTTTGTTAGTTGAGTAGCTAAAGAAAGGATTTTGTTTTTATGGAGTCAAGATGAATCAAGGGACACAACATAAAAAAGAGGTTTTATATTTGCTCACAATGATTGGTTAAAAACCTTTAATTCAGATTTGGTACAGAGTAAGACTTAAAATGAGTGTGCTTTACAGGGCTTTGGGTAAAAAGCACCCCATGTTTCCCACCTGTACAACGTCTCACCTGCTCTCTTCCTGAAATTTATTTTCCCTTCACTTTATAGTTACGAGACAGACTGCGATGCAAATACTTACAGGAGAAGCAATAGAATTGGAACTGTCATACCAAAAAGAAAATGACTAACAGACCCTCTCCTGAGAGTAGTTATTAAAAGAGATGCACAGAGAAGATAAAATTGCAGAAATTAGGGATGTGAGGACCTGTGTCACAATGTCGCCCCGATTGGGTACTTTGACATCTGGAATTTGCCGCTGGGCGACTCTGGAATGTCCCTCCCTCACCAAGTTTAGCCAGAGTTCTTAGGCAGGTGTCTGTCTCTTTTTAAGAATCACTCCATCATTTGCCTCGTTACGTTTAAAACTTAAAAAGGAGTGGACTGGACATCTCACGTCCCGTTCAGTTCTAAAGCACTAGTCATGGGCCATTACACATGCCCACCCATCTTGGAGAATGTGCATGTTTTGCTAAATAGGGACTCGACCGGCCATTAGGAACAAGGCCGTGGCTGCAATGCTACGAGGGGAATCGTAGGATATGGAGGCTTTACCTGCGTGAGGGCCAGGATGTGTGAAACAGACAGCAGCCGTCACCAAGCGTGCCAACTTTGTCCTCCCTAGACCACTGCAAACAGCGACCACGGCCGCCATGATTTCCCCGTCCCTCCTCTTCCTGTCGTTCACACTTCTTCCGGCAGGTCCCTTCCTGCGCTCTTCCACCCGCGCGCGCGCGCGCGAGAACCGCTTTCAAAGGTTCCGCCAGCGAACGCTGGCGTCCAATTAAACCGAAGCGCGTAGGCGGGGTTTCCAACGCGCAGTCGCATTTCTTTCGCGCGCTCGCCGCAGCGCACGTCACGTGACCGGATGTTTGGCCTGCGGGAAGGCGGCGCACACCTGCGCATGCGTGCCTTCCGGCCCGAGCGCTGTGGGGATTGATGTCTGGGTCTCTTCCCCAAGGCTGACGGGGACGCGAGCGCCGTTTTTCTCTCGTCGCCGCCTCCGCCCTGGCTCCCACTCTCTTCCCCGCTTGAGTGCGGCGGCCGGGCCATGGAAGAAGGTGGTTCCCGCATCCGCCGGCGGGTGTGTGTCCGCAAAAGGGACCGTCCGGGCCTCGGGTGCGTTCCTGTCACCGCCGCCGAGGCCGAGAAAGACGACGAGGAGAAAGACGAGGAGGAAATGGTCGCTGCGAGCCGGCGGCGGAGAACCGCGGGCGTGCAAGAGGCAGAGGTACGACCCCGACGCGCCCCCGGCCTTTTAGCCGCCGTCGCGGCGGGGACGCGAACCCCGGCCACCTCCTGCTCCCCACGCCCGCCCACCTGGGACACCAGGCACGGAGGACTTGGGACGTGAAACTGCGAGCTTCCCCTCAGTTCCCTCCCCGGGTGCAAGCACATAGCCGGTTACTGCGTAGCTTTCATTTGTTGCCAGTGTCTGTCGGGCACTTAGGAAGTATTTTTTTCTAAGAAAAAAATCAAATTCTTTCCTTAATGGCAGTCTTCTCATAGGATATAGTTATAATCAGTGTTAAATGTCAAAAATCGGCTGGGCGCAGAGGCTCACGCCTGTAATCCTAGCACTCTGGGAGGCAGAGGCGGGAGGATCGTTTGAGCTCAGGAGTTTGAGACCAGCCTGAGTAAGAGCAAGACCCCGTCTCTACTAAAAATAGAAAAAAAATTAATTCGCCAACTAAAGATAATACATAAAAAATTAACCGGGCGTGGCGATGGCCATGCCTGTAGTCCCAGCTACTTAGGAGGCTGAGGCAGGAGGATCGCTTGAGCCCAGGAGTTGGAGGCTGCTGTGAGCGAGGCTGACACCATGGCACTCTAGCCTGGGCAACAGAGTGAGACTATGACTCAAAGAAAAAAAAGTCAAAAATCCCAAACGTGCAGTGAACACAGCCAGAAAGAGTCTCATTCAGGCCTGGTTAGCAAGGTGGGCAACCTGTCTGTCTATTCATCAGCTGCAGACTTGGGTCTAAGTTCCCAGCAGGGCAGACAGCAGCCTGGTCAACAAGGAGCATCATCTGGGACATCAGAGGAGGAAAAAGACAGTGCAAGGACTTGTGTGAATCTCAGTTATCCTCGTTATGTTTCCAAAGAGATTATGTAAATTTCCTTTCCTTATTCACCCAAAAGCCAACCTAGAGAGAATGAAGGGGAGGAGAGAAAATAATCTATGAGGTTTTATACAAACCAATAAAAATTTCAACCAGGGTGGGGCGAGGTGGCTCACGCCTGTAATCCTAGCACGCTGAGAGGCCGAGGCGGGGCAGATCATTTGAGCTCAGGAGTTCGAAACCAGCCTGAGCAAGAGCGAGAGACCCCGTCTCTACTAAAAATAGAAATTATTTGGCCAACTAAAATATATAGAAATAATTAGCCGGGCATGGCGACCCTTGCCTGTAGTCCCAGCTACTAGGGAGGCTGAGGCAGGAGGATCGCTTGAGCCTGGGAGTTGGAGGTTGCTGTAAACTAGGCTGATGCCACGGCACTCTAGTCCGGGAAACAGAGTGAGACTCTGTCTCAAAAAAGAACAAAAACAAAAAAAAAACTTCCACCAGCCTTATAGAGACCTGAACTTTGAATGGCCTAAAAACTATTTTAAACTGATAAGACTGTTTAAATCAGCTAGGATTAACTGGTACATCTAGGATTCCCACAACTTAGCAAAGTGGGATTCATGAAACACACCAGATCCAAGACATGGTATAAAAACCAGTACTGACTACTCTGTAGGATACTTTCATGATGTAGATCAAGTTCTCAAAATGTGCATCAGTAGAAAATGGGCAAAATATAATACATTTCACAACAGGAAGAAATGCAAATGGCCAATAAATACATGAAAAGACCCTCAACTGTTTTCTACTGGGATGGCAAAATAAATAAAATAAAAACCAAATAACTCCCCAAAAATAGAAAGCCTCCCCCCCCCCACACACACAATCCAGATCTGGTGAGAATGAGGAGACACAGCCATTCTCATGGATGGTTTGTAAGAACATAAATTGCTACTATCCTTTTGGAAAGTAATCTAGCAGTATCAAAAAATAAACGCACACTGCCTTTGAGCTAGCATTACTACTTTATGGATCCTACATCTATAGAAATAAAAGCTAGTCAGGCACGGTGGCTTGCCCCTGTATCTTGGCACTTGGGACGCCAAGGCAGGAGGATTGCTCGAGGTCAGGAGTTCAAGACCAGCCTGTGCAAGAGGGAGACCCCATCTCTACCAAAAAGAAAAAGGAAAAAAGAAAAAAATTAAACAGGCATGGTGGCATGCACCTAGAGTCCCAGCTACTCAGGAAGCTGAGGCAGAAGAACTGCTTGAGTCCAGGAGTCTGAGGTTGCAGTGAACTATGATGATGCTATTACACTCTACCCAGGGCAACAGAATGAGACTGTCTCAAAAAAAGAAAAACAAAAAATATATAAAATGATCAAGAGATAATATTTAGGAATATCACCTATCTTCCTACATTAAAAAAAATATATTAACTTAGTTCTGAACACTTTAAGCATATAAAATACATTAAACATGTAATTCTATGATAAAAAGGCAAAGATAACAGTATTAGCTTGAGGTTCTCTAGCTTGTGGTTCATAAACTTTTGGGCACATAGGAATCCCCTGCAGGCTTGTTAAAACAGACTGCCAGGTCTCACTCCAAGAGGGTCCTGATGCAGCAACCTATGGCAGTCTTGATAATGTGTATTTCTTCAATTTCCAACTGATATGGATGCTGTAGTCCACATCTT